GTTTAAATTGTCTCTAAGGAGGTACAGGTTGGCTGACTGAATACATAAACTCAGACATGATATCTGCTGCATACAAAAATCTCACCTCACCTTACAGGATAAAAATAGACTCAGGGTGAAGGGATGGATATCAGTAATATGACAGATGGGAATCAGATGAAAGCAGGGGTTGCAATTTTACTTGCAGATACAATTGGCCTTAAACCAACAAAGATAAAGAAAGATAAGGATGGTCACTACCTATTTGGCAAGGGAAACACCCAACATGAAGAGATTTTGGTAATCAACATTTACCCATCCAGCAGACTGCTCCTCAATATAAATAAAAAGCAAACACTAATGGAGATGAAGAATTTGATATCTTCCTGCATTATACTAGTTGGAGAGTTTAACACCCCTTTTACAGTTTTGCATAAATCCTCCAAGAAGGAAACTAAACAAAGAAATATTAGACTTAAACCTGACCCTAGAACAAATGGACTTAACAGATCTCTACAGAACGCTTCACCCTAATAAAACTGAATATACATTCTTTTCATCAGCCCATGAATCATCCTCCAAAATTGATCAAATCTTAGGACACAAGCCTAATCTCAGCAAATTTAAAAGAATAGAAATTATTCTTTGTATCTTCTCGGACCACCAGGGAATAAAAGTTGATCTCAACAGTAGCATGAATCTTCATACTCAAACAAAGTCATGGAAACTAAATAATCTTAGGCTGAATGATAGGTGGGTCAAAGACAAAATTAAGAAGGAAATCACCATATTTTTGGAACAAAGTCATAATGAAGACACAAATTATCAAATCTATGGGATACTGCAAAGGAAGTCCTAAGAAGGAAATTTAAAGTACTTAGAAGCCTTCATCAAGAAAACAAAAAGAGAGGAAGTCAACAACTTAATGGATCATCTCAAGAACTGGAAAAGGAAGAACATTCCAACCCCAAACCCAGCAGAAGAAAAGAAATAACCAAAATTAGAGCAGAATTAAATGAAATTGAAAACAAAAGAATCATTCAGAAGATCAATGAAACAAAAAGTTGGTTTTTTGAAAAGATTAATAAAATTGATAAATCTTTGTCCAACCTAACCAGAAATAGAAAAGTAAAATCTCTAATATCATCTATCAGAAATGATAAAGAAGAAATAAAAGACACCTTATAAATTCAAAAAATCCTCAGTGATTACTAAAAAACTTTATTCCCAGAAATATGAAAATCTGAAGGAAATGGAATAATACCTGGAAGCACACCACCTTCCTAGACTCAACCAGAAAGAATTAGAAATCTTGAATAGACCTATATTAATCACTAAAATAGCATCAACAATACAAAACCTCCCCAAAAAGAAAAGTCCAGGACCAGATGGCTTCACATCTGAATTCTATCAAACTTTTCAAGAGGAACTAGTACCTATATTATACAACCTTTTCCAAAGCATAGAGAAAGAAGTAATACCTCCTGGTTCAGCACCTGTAGCTCAGCAGCGAGAGTGCCAGCCACATACACTAGAGCTGGTGGCTTCAAATCCAGCCCAGGCCTGCCAAACAACAATGAGAACTACAACCAAAAAGAGCTGGGCATTGTGGCGGGTGCCTGTAGTCCCAGCTACTTGGAAGACTGAGGCAAGAGAATCACGAAAGCCCTTTGTGTGAGGTTGAGTGTAATTGCTGGAGTTGAGTTCCACTTTTAGTGCCTTATGTCTGAAAAGATGCAAGGTATAATTTCAATTCTTTTGATTCTATTAAGGTTTGCTTTATATCCAAGGATATAATCAGTTTTAGAGAATGTTCCATGGGACGATGAGAAGAATGTATATTCTTTACCTTTGAGATGGAGTGTTCTATATATGTCTATCAAGCACAATTGTTCTAAGGTCTCATTTAAGTCTCTAATATCTTTGTTTAATTTCTGTTTAGAAGATCTGTCCATCTCTGAGAGAGGGGAGTTAAAGTCCCTTGTTATTATGGTGTTATAAGATATTGTTTTGCTCAGACTAAGTAAGGTCTGTTTCAAGAATCTGGGAGCATTTAAATTAGGTGCATAAATATTTAGAATTGAAATGTCTTCTTATTGTGTTTTTCCCTTGACCAATATGAAGTGTCCATCATTGTCCTTTGTAACTTTAGTTGCTTTAAACCCACATGTGTCTGAAAATAAGATTGCAACCCCTTTTTTCTTCTGACTTCCATTTGCCTGAAAAATTGATTTCCAACCCTTAACTCTGAGTTTTAATTTGTCTTTCAAATTAAAGGGACCCCCACCTGTCACCATTCACAAAAATTGATTCTGACTGGATGAAGGATTTAAACTTAAGACATGAAACTACAAAAATACTAGAAGAGAGTACAAAGAAAAACACTTGAAGAAATTGGCCTGGGAGACTATTTTATGAGGACGACCATATAGGCAATTGAAGCAACACCAAAAATACATTACTACGATATGATCAAACTAAAAAGCTTTTTCATAGCCAAGAGCACAGTAAGTAAAGCAAACAGACAACCTTCATAATGGGAGAAGATTTTTGCAGGTTATGCTTCTGACAAAGGTCTAATAACTAGAATCCAGAGAGAATTCAAACTAATCAATAAGAAAAGAACAAATAACCCCATTTCTATGTCAGCAAGAGACTTGAATAGAAACTTCTCTGATGAAGACAGGTGCATGGCCTACAAACACATGAAAAAATGCTCCTCATCTTTAATCATCAGAGAAATGCAAAACAAAACCACTTTGAGATATTATCTAACCCGAGTTAGATTATCCCACATAAAAAAAATCTCAAAACTATAGATGTTGGAGTGGATGTAGAGAGAAGGGAACACTTCTTCACTGCTGGTGGGAAGGCAAGCTAATACGATCTTTTTGGAAAGAAGTTTGGAAAATACTCAAGAAACTACAAGTAGACCTATACTCTGGTTTCTCTTCAGATTGCATAAATCTTTTGCCTTTTACTAAAAGTAGACCTACTATTTGATCCTGCAATTCCTCTACTATGTATATACCCAGATGATCAAAAATTACTTTACAATAAAGACATTTGCAGCAGAATGTTTATTGCAGCTCAATTCATAATTACCAAGACATGGAAACAGCCCAAGTGCCCATCGGCCCATGATGGATTAACAAATTGTGGTATATGTACACCATGGATGGAGACTTCACATCTTTTATTTTTACCTGGATGGAGCTGGAACATATTCTTCTTAATAAAGTATCTCAAGAATGCAAGAAAAAGTATCCAATGTACTCAGTACTACTATGAAATCAATATATAATCACCTACACATTCATATGAATGGTAAAACATAACTATAGTCAGAAAGTAGAAGGGAAGAGGAAAGAGAGGGGAGGGAAAAGGGGAGGTGGGAAGAGGGAGGGCATTTGGGGGGACCTCACCTAATGTACATGATGCAATGGTACATTTCAAAACTATTAAGAAAAGAGTATAATTGTGATGGATGTATTAATCAGTTCGATGTAAGCATTTCACATTATGTATCAAATCAGTACACTGAACCCCATAAATGCATCAATTTACACAGTTATGATTTAATAAAAATAGGCAAAAAAAAAAAAAAAGGAATCTTTTTGCTTCAGCCTCCCAAGTAGCTGGGACTACAGGTGCGCACCACATTGCCCACCTGTTTTTAGAGATGGAGTCTTGCTCTGGCTCAGGCTGGTCCTGAACCTGTGAGCACAGGTAATCCACCCAACTCCACCTCCCAGAGTGCTGAAATTACATGCATTAGCTTTGTTCTTGATAATATTGTCCAATTCCTCCATTTTCTCTTTAAACCATTTCAAATCTTCCATTAAATCTATTCACTTAGTTTCTAAGTTGGGTTCTTATGATTTTTCATTCTTGAATTTCTAATTAATCCCTTATTGTTTTTGTTGTTTTTTTGTTTTCCAAATCTGAATTTTATTTTGATGGCTTCAAAAATCCTGATGAATTTTTTAAGTCTGAAATTCATCTCCATGAAGATTATAAATATGCCCTGCATTTTGTTCAACAAGTAGTTCAATAAGTTAAAATAACTGTTGCCATGTTTTTGTTGTCTATTGTTTTACTGATGCTTTGTATTTATGTACTCATGTATCTACTTATTTTTTGTTTATTTTTTTGGTATGCACTATGATGATGTTAATTTCCTTCAGAGAGAATTTCCATTAGTTTCTTCTAGGTGCTCAGGACATTATCAATTTGGTAGGCACTATGATGATGTTAATTTTCCTTCAAAGAGAATTTCCATTTGTTTCTTCTAGGTGCTCAAGACAATAACTTAATCTAATTTTAAGCACCATATTTTCTGGATTATACACATTAATCATATACACATGATTCAAAGCCTGACTATAATCCATGTGAATACTGGTTTCCGTTTAGTTAATTCTTAAAATGAGTGTGCAACCCTTCAGATTCCAACCCTAGAAATAGTGTGAGTTATTAGGGACCTTCCTCCACTGGGCAGCTGAAGAATCCAGATTTCACCTTTAGCCATCTAATCTTACAAGGATGACAAAACCCTATTCAAAATCTCAATCATGTTGTCAGGATCAAGAAAAGTTCTCACAGAAAAAAGGCCTCAAATGTCAATTTTACTTCTTTGTACTGCCACCTTCTATTTATTCTTAACCTTGTGATTCTTCATTGTCTTTTAACTTCACTGATCTTTTTGTTGTTGTTGTTGTTGTTGTTGTTGTTGTTGTTGCTGCTTCTGCTGTTGCAGTTTGGCTGGGGCCAGGTTGGAACCCGCCACCCTCGGGATATGGGGCCAATGCCCTACTCACTAATCTTTATGAAACATTTCAAAAATATCTCGCATAGAGTTTGTAAGTATGAGAGTTTATATAATGCAAACAATCCATCTTTACTGGGTGTGGAAACTTGCAATTAATTTTTAATTTTGTTTGAAAGTAGCTAGCAAAACTCAGGTCCTATATGACAGTTTCATGATATACTACATGCCATTTTCCTCAGAAAAGAATAGCTTATAAATCATAAGACAGTGAGCCTGAAGCTTGCCACTTGCTCCTTATAACTTTCACAGCCTCTTTAATATCCTTATTCCTCAAAGAGTAGATTACAGGATTTAGCATGGGGGTAACAACACTGTACAATACTGAGATCAGCCTGTCTTTCTCCAATGAGTAAGCTGAGATGGGCCGTACATATGTGAAGATGGCACTGCCATAATAGAGAAGAACAATGATCAGGTGGGAGGCACACGTCGAAAAGGCCTTTTTTCTTCCCTCTGAGGAGTGAATCCTCAAGATAGCAGAGATTATGTAAAGGTAGGAATGGACAATACACAAAAAAGGCATCCAACCAATGAAGACTCCAATGCAGAGCAGCACCAACTCATTAATAAAAGTGTCCCCACAGGACAAGATCAGCAAAGGAGGAATGTCACAAAAGAAATAATTAATCTGATTGTTGCCACAGAAGGGCAGACGGAATGTCAACACCGTGTGCACCACTGAATTGAGAAAACCACCAGTCCAGCATGAAGCTGCTAACTGGCTACACAGGGTCTTGTTCATAATTACAGAATACCTTAAGGGTTTGCATATCGCAATGTAACGATCATATGCCATTGCTGCCAATAGCAGGGACTCTGACCCAACTGAAAAAATAAATGCAAAAAGTTGTGCCATGCAACCCACATAGGAAATACTTTTTTTCTTTGATAAAAGATGCACCATCATCTGGGGGACATTGGTGGTGATATAACAGACATCAAGAAAAGCTAAGTTTTCTAGAAAAAAAATACATGGGAGTATGTAAGCGTGAATCTGTCATAGTCACCCAAATAATAATGATATTTCCTCCCAAGGTACAGATATAAGTCACAAAGAAGATGGTGAAAAGTAAAAATTGAAATTCATTTAAATTGGAGAATCCCAAGATGATAAACTCAAATGGAGCTGTTTGATTTTCTCCTTCCATAATATTGTTCTGGTTTTCCTTTTGAAATTGAGACTAAGTTAGTGTAGATGTCTATAATAATGTACTTCTCCAGAAACGTCTAAAACAAGAAAATAAAAACTTCACAGATAAAAAAGCAAAGCTCTTTATCAACAAATATCAGATGTGTCTGTAAAATCACAATTTCACAGCAAATAAACTCTGTGCCCAAGAATCCAATATAAATATAAACATATCCAACCTTCATCTATAGGTCAAATCTCTTAAAATCAAACTAGTGGCAGTTTTGAATTTCAAAGTAAACCACAGAAGGGCACATGCACAATAAAGTCTGTCTTCTTAGGTTGCAGTAACTCAGAGGCTTTTTAGATACAGTTATCATTAGGGGGTCAGTCAACTATACATTTATAGAGTACATACAGCATTAGCCACATTTTACATATTATGCAGGATAAAGAGGGCAGAAAACACATAGTGGTAACAGAGAGTGATACAATGTTGAGGGGACAATTTCATAAGATATAGATAAACACAACATACAAATCCTACAGCTCAAGGCTCTTTGAGTTGAATACTCAGGTGACATAAATAAGCTCCCACTGTTAAAAGCCGTCATTAAAAATAATAACTTTTATTGTACAACGAGAACAAATTGATCTTTCATATACCATTTTCTGTATTAAGTTTATCCTGTACTGAATGTCCTTACAAATCACTAGAGTCAATAGTGCACTTGAACTAGATCTCATTGGCTCATAAAAGACCATTGTTACATTTTCAGGAATTTTGGAAGCTAGTTAGCAAAAAGTCATTACTAAAAGTGAAATTAAATAAACTTACAATTGAATAAGTTATATTAAAAACAGAGGTAACAAATATACAAAATTCATCACGTCTTAAATTTTTTTACATTTACTATTATCTGTGCTTCGGAGATTATTACCTTTACTGCATCTATATGATGAAGATGCCAAGTGATGGAGTGCTGCTACACATATTCCCAAATTCATGTTCAGTGAATCATTATAATAGCTTGAAATTGGATATGGTAGAAGCATTCATGTCATGGAATTTGAAAAATGCTATACAAATCATGCCATTTCATTCTTTGATTGATTTTCTAGGCCTAAGAAAGTGAATAGAGAAAATGTTAATGATGCACATTAAATTTAAAGGTGTGGCATGTACATGCCATTACATTGTAAATAACACAGTAAAAGGAAGATACTTTCGACATTTTCTTCCATTATTCAGAGACTATCACCTGTTTTAGCAAAAATGCCATTTGTGTCATTAATAAATGAGTGAAATTCTGACACACATCTTCATTGATTCACTTTTGTCTTATTAACATAGACAAAGATATCAACTATTAAGGGCTTTCAACAATGATAGAAATGACTCATTTGTTGGATCAGATAATTTTAAAGCACTTATTGATAGTCTGAATTTACCACATAGTGCTTGAATCTCTTTGTTTTTACCAAAAGAAATCTTTTTTATTTTTTTCAAGACAATTTAATTTAGCACCACTTACCCATTTGGTTTAGTTTGATTTTCTATGGTACTGATGAAACCAGGAATTGTCATGGAGGAAAAATGTCACTTTTATAAAGAAAACTAGCCTCTTTTTCATATTTTTGTGAGAACAAGGCTGAAATTCTTTTCTACAGTTGATATACTCCACCCTCTTATGTCTGAAGAAACCTTAACTATGACAGAAAGTTGCCACTATCTCTCCTCTCTCCCAGTTTATATGACCAACCAGAACTCTCTTCTTTTATTTATATGATTTCTTTTACAAGCATATACTCTGTAATCAAAATCTAATTACTTTTCCCTAAACAGCAATAAGGAAGACCCTGGGGACTCTGAATATCTTAGTAGCAATTAAAGTATATTGTAAAATTGCTCAAGTTGACAAAATGAAAAAATAATAATGATCCTGCCAGAGGAGAAAAAATCATCAATTTCTATTGATATCCTCAATATTGGACATAGGTTAAAATTACTTTTACTTTTGTTGTTTAAATGATGTTAATGTAAACTTTATTATATAAGTATAAAAATTTTAAAAACATATAATTACAGAAATATTAATTTTAAAACTATATTTTATACTATTTGTCTCATTTGAGTGATAAAACAACTTTTAGAGAACATATTGCTAGAAGCGAATTCTAAGATCCCTAATAACTCTTCACCTTTATATGATCTCCTCCCATTGAGTGTAGCAGAACATGTAATATGATATTACTTCAGTGACTTTGCTGCCTTATATGGGAAAAATTTTTTTGCACATTTATTAAAGTTTCCAAATCAGTTGGCCTTAAGATAGGAAGATTATCCAGGTGGGCCTGATCTTATCACATGAGCTATTTACATCTAAGTCTAAAGGTCACAGACAAGTAAGTCAAAGATTTCAAGAACAAGAAAATTCAAGCTTAAGAAGTTCTCTGTTGTGTGGAGCAACAAGAAATGCAGCTGACGTTGGCCTTGAACAACAGTTGGTATAGAAAAGGAGATTTCAATTCTACAAATATAAGGAACTGAATTTTTCCTACCACCTGAATAAGGTTGGAAGTAAAGTCTTCCCCAGAAATTCTGGGAAGAAACACAGCTTATATAATGCATTAATTTCAGCCTTGTAGTACCCCGGGCAGAAAACCCAAGCAAGCCATGTCTGTAATTCTGACCTACAGAACTATGAGCTAACAAATGGTTATTGTTTTAAGCCACCAAATTCACAGTTACACAATAAAGAACAAATACTGAGGTATTAATGATTTTTTTTTTGAGACAAAGTTTCACTTTGCCACCCTTGGTAGAGTGCTGTGGCATCACAGCTCACAGCAACCTCCAGTTCTTGGGCTTAGGTGATTCTCTTGCCTCAGCCTCCTTAGTAGCTCAGACTACAGGCACCTGCCACAACTCCCAGCTATTTTTTTGTTGCAGCTTGGCAGGGGCTGGGATCAAACCCACCATCCTCAGTACATGGGGCCAGCACCGTACTCACTGAGCCAGAGGTGCCGCCCTGGGATTAATTATTTTTATATAAGAATTTTCACAAGTAATAAAAAGTGAAGAAGGGACACTGAAGACTATATTTTCTCACTGTACAATATTCTCCACTCTTAGATATCTATTTACATATAAACTAAAGTATCAAAACACATTTATTCCATAAAATAAATTTTTCTTTCCACATAGAAGCAATGATTACTTCCTCTACAACTCTCTCCATCTACAAAATGTCAGAAATGGTTACTGTGATAAGTATAAGCATAATAAAGATGGTAATTAATTGAGAGAGTTAAACCTTTAAAAATAGCATAAAATTTGAAAGTTCTGCTTCTTACCTTTTTCTGTAAAATGTTGTCATAGCCATTATAATCAACTAACAATAATGATAAGTAAATCAAACAAATGACCTTTGGTTACAGTCATTATGCAGATATTTGTTTGCCAAACAAATCTCAGCCAGTTTTCATAGAAAAAAGATCATGTTTTAGAACCACATAATCTTGGCCATGCAAATTACACTGGACATAACATAACTCTACAAGTAAAATTTCCAGCATTAGTATGTCTGAATTAATATATCTTTTTTATCCTCTGAAATTTTCCTTAAAAAAATGAGGAGTTAGTGGAAGGAAATAATAAAGATATAAAATAGAGATTAGAAAACCAATACAAAAGACCAATGAAAGGAAAAGTCAGTTTTTTGACGATAAAATACACAAACCTTTAGCTACTCTAAGTAAAAAAAAAGAGAGAGGAAAGACTCAAATAAATAAAATCAGAGAAGAAAAAGGAAACATTGTATTCAATACTACAGAAATAAAAGGGATCATAAGACATTACTATGAACCACTATATTCTAACAAACTGGATAAACTAGAAGAAATAGATTTCTAGACACATAAAACCTGCCAACATTGAGTCATTAGGTAAACAGAAAATCTGAGCAAACTAATATAAGTGGGGAAAATTAATTAGTGATAAAAGTCTCCCATTGAATAAAAGTCCACCTGGTGGCTTCACTGCTGAATTTTTATCAAACATTTAAAGAAGGAATAATATTAATTCTTTCCAAACCATTCTAAAAAATTGAAAAGGAGGAAAGATTTTCAAACTCATTCCACAAAGCCAGCATTACTCCAATACCAAAACTAAATTAAGACATAACAAGAAACTATTGAACAATATTTCTTATAATCATACAAGAAAAAACCTTCAACAAAATAATAGCAAACCAAACTCGACAACCCACCAAAAAGATCATCAACCATGATTAAGTAGGATTCATCCCACTGATTCAAGGGTATTTCACTTTCTCATACACAAATCTATAAATGAAATATCACATTAACAGAAAGAGAAACAGAAAACATATGATTATTTCTATAGGTGTAGAAAAAGTATTAGAAAAATTCAACATCACTTCATGATAAAATTTCTCAACAAATTAAGAAAGTACCTCAATGTAATAAAGGTCATATATGAGAGGTCCACAGGCAATATCATACTAAACAAAGAAAGTTGAAAACTTTTCCTTTAAGATCCAAAACAAATAAAGGATGCACACTCTCACCACTTCCACTGGCCAGAGCAGTCATGCAAGATAAAAAAATAAATAAATTGGGCAGTGCCTATGGCTCAGTGGGCAGGGCACCAGCCCCATATACCGAGGGTGGCAGGTTCAAACCCAGCACCCAGCCAAACTGCAACCAAAAAATAGTCAAGATTGTGGCAGGTGCCTATAGTCCCAGCTACAAAAATATATAAATAAGTAAATTAAAAGTATCACAATTGGAAACAAATTAAATTGTCCCTATTTGCAGAGCACATGATCTTACACATATTCATAGGAAACCCCAAAGACACCACCAAAAAATTGATATATCTAATGAACAAATTAAGCAAAATAACAGGATACAAAATCAAAATACAAAAATCTGTAGCATTTGTGCACATTAATAGTAATCTATGTAAAAAAGTAAATGACCTCATTTGTAATA